CTGTCCGCCTCGCCTCCTTCAAAAAAAGGTGAAGCATCCGCTGACACTGCGGAAGAGCTACCTGATGAGAAGCCGCAGCAAAACGAAAAACGCCTTGTCATTCCAGAGGCTCTGCGAGAGCGCTTAGAGAGCCTGTACAACGCAAGTCAGCTTGCTGCCCTTGAGGATTCCCTCAAGGTTGAAGGGGTCACTCTAATCCAGGGCCCCCCAGGCACTGGAAAGACGTCCACTATTGTTGGAGTTGTTTCTGTCATCCTTCACGCCCAGTTGGAAGGGCAGCAAGACCATAAGTCGGGCCTTATTAGCGTGAGTTGCAGGCCAAGCATGACATGCATGAACTGTGTAGTCGGAAAACTGTTCTTTTTGTAGAGACAAAAGGGCGACGCCCACACTACCCAGCTGAGTGGACTGCTATTGCTTCTAACTTTGCGGGCGCTCTATAAGTCGCTTTGGTTTTGTCACCTGCAGAAAGAACGCAGCACTGCGGAGGAAGAGGCGCAGGGTCAGGAGGTGGAAGCAAAAGTGACAACATCATCTTCTTTAAAACGTCGTCCATGGCTTCAGCGTAAGCAGTGCTAAGAAAGCTTCATTTGTGTGTCTAACTGCCTCAACCCCTTTTCGTTTCCCTGCACTGGCGCACAATGAGGCTTTCTGAGCTGCAGAATGCACGCAGACCTTCTTGCTTGTTATGTGGCTATTGAGCGAGGAAGTGGTGTTATGCCGTGTTTCTCAGCAAACTACACAGCTTGGATGGACCTGGACGAGATCACTTTAGAGGACCTTGACAGCCGGTTGTTACTGCAGCCGGCAGCAATGCCAACTGAGCCACCAATTTATCTTACAAGAGAGCGTCATGAACTGCAACCGGTGTATGCTTACATGTACTCGTCAGGGCGTCATCAGCCTCTTGGAACTGTTCCCCTCAAACGCAGTAGAACGCAGTGTGCCAGAGGCTGCGGCGCAGGCCTCGCTAGTTGGAGCCACTACTTAGTATACACGACCACGTGTTTTGTGAGGGAGCCTGCTTTTGATGCTTGTTCTTTCCCTCAGGCGCATTTTGGTTTGTGCGCCTTCAAATGCAGCCATTGACGAGATTGTAAAGCGTCTTACGGCAGATCCAGAGTCCGGTGGCGGAATATTTGATGGGAACGGTCAAAGATTCTCTCCTTCAGTCCGTCATTCTCACATTTTTACACTTCTACCGTCACTTTATGTTGAGTTCGAGCTCGCCAGTCATTCCTCAGATCTGATGTTTCTGTTTGAAATCAGTTTTCCCCTCATGTTTTTAAAGAAGGGAACTGGCGGAGCCCACGAATGGTCTGATGTTGGGACTGAAGTTATGGCGTATGTTTCAAACCTTGGTTGCAGGTCGTGAGAGTCGGGCCAAATGTACACCCTGACCTGCTGCCGCACAGCCTGCAGTACAAAGCTCTACAGAGACTGAAGTCCAGAGGGGCAACTAATTTTGCTGCCCTAGCAGTAAGCAATTTCTGGCATCGTGCTATTAGAGATTCGTATTTTTGGTGCGACGAAAGAGGGAAGACAGTCATCTCACAGCCGTCATACCGCAGGGACACGTTCACCGAACTCACACCTTTTGGAAGCCGAACTCAACAGAATTTGGCACCCCAGGCTCTCAGGGCCTAAAGTGATGCTACAAGACTTATTCTTTAGCAGTTGAATTGCTTTTAGCTGCTTGTGTCCAGCTTTGTGAGTGCCTCAGTGCCTGGATCTTTTCTTATTTCCATTCCCTGGTAGCAGTCGTACTGTATTTCTTCATGGCCCTTGGCTGTGTAGGCTGCGAAGGCGGACGTCCTGCGCGACAGCGTAATCGTTTGTGCGACGATCTCCGTTTGCGGCTCAAACGAATTGACATCGCTTGCAGATTGCTTCGACACGGTGGTAGTAGACGAGGCCTCTCAGGTGGGACTACACAAGCAGTGAGCCTGCTGTTTACTTCGGCTTCTTTGGCTTGGCGTCCCTTGAGTCTGCCTGTCGGCAGATTGTTGAGTGTATTTCACCTGCTATAGCGAAACTGACTGGTGACTACTGTGCGCTTGCAGGCTGTTGAATTGGCGACACTTATCCCACTCAGACTTGGGTGCAGAAGGCTCATTCTTGTCGGCGATCCAAAACAACTGCCCGCCACCATTTTCTCTAGGGTCGCCATTCAGCTGGTGAGAATGTAAACTTCTGACTACTATTTTACTGCATAGAATAACTGGTTGTTGGGATTTCACATCCCGAAAATTTTGGCGGCTTGTGGGGCCTGTGGGCTCACAAGCTGCCTTTTGACGTATGGTTTTCATCATTAGACGCAACAGGAGTTCTTTTTTCACTTGGGCTTTTTCCAATGTCCACAGCGGTATGATCGATCATTGTTTCAACGTCTGGAAGGGGCGGGCCAGCCTACCAATATGCTGAGCCAGCAGTACCGCATGCATCCAGCGATCTCCCGCTTTGCGTCGGTTTCTTTCTACGAAGGACTCTTGAAGGATGCACCTCACTTACCCAATGGCCTTTGGACTCCCTTTCCTTTCTGGCACCGATTGCCAATCCTCCAGCCTTTTGTCTTCTTCAACCTCGATAGCGAACACACAGTAAGCGGCTTGACTTCCCATTCAGTAAAGTTGTTGGCGCGTAGGTTACTACAACTTCATTTTGGGATGACGCAACTTGTTACATGTGAGATTTGCAGGAGGAGCATACGTCTTTTGTCAACTACACAGAGGTAGATTTCGTGCGGCAGCTTGTCGACTTTTTGCGCCGACTGGTAAGGTCATAGGCCCTTCGCTTTCAGTTGTGAAATGCCTCTTTCTACTGGTTTCCTGCCTGTGCTGAGCTATGGCGGCGTGAAAAACTTCTATTTAGCTTTTTTCAAGGTTTTCTTCCTTGTGCAGTTTATAGCATCTGGCCACGCCAGATGGGAGCACAGGTTGGCGGTGATCAGCCCGTATGCTCAACAGGTTGTCCTACTGCGCCGAACAATCAAAGCTTTGCTTGGAGTATCTGAAGGGAAATCCTGCCCAGTGGATGTGAACACTGTAGACGGCTTCCAGGTAGAAACCAGGCTGCCCTCTCCAAGCGAGGTTGCCCCTTGCCCTGCCCATTGATGTCTTCACAGCACCTAAGCGGAACCCTCTTGAGATCCATGGTATTCAGCTTTTGGCCGTTCGCTGAATGAAACTTGCGTGCCTGGTGGATTTCAACGAACTCACAATACACTTCGTTTGCTCTAGCAGAGGGTTGAGGAAGCGTTTGAGTTTCTTCATGACTTAGTATTTGCGTGGTTGACAGGGCCAAGAAAAAGATTTCATAATTTTCTCAGCCGTTCGCGGAATTCGTAGTGACAGGGAGGAGGCGAAAAAAGGTACCGTTGGCTTTCTGGGAGACATGCGACGCCTGAACGTGGCCGTGACGAGAGGTCGTGTGAATCTGTGGATGGTTGGAAATGGCTGCTTCTTAAGAAGAGATAAGACGTGGGCTAGGCTGTATGCGTATGCAAAAGACCGTCATGCGCTTATATCCATTAGTCGCCGCAATGCGCAACATTCTGCTATCCTCACTAGATGGGTCCTCAAGTACTGCAAGACGCATCATGTAAGCGCAGCATACCCGCAGGAGATTGGAAAGAAAATGTGTGAGGTGTCGCCATGCTTTGTATTATATGCATCCGTCTAGCATTCAAGACGAAAAACGATTGAGCTTTCAACGCCATCCCAGTTAGGTCGTAGTGCTGGAGGAACCTGGCAACACTCTGCTCATGAATTGTTTTTCAAATTCAGCGAGATAGGAAGTTGCTTGAGGAGCACGCGCCTAAATTCTTAGCAGAACTGTCAGAGAGTTTGAAGGCAATGAGGGAACGGAAACAGAAACGAGGGGGCAAGGAAGAGGAGGAGCCGGCCGACGAACTACAAACGGAAGGGTAGGCGTAAGGACAGCCATATACCTCATTGTTTCAAGCCATTGTCTTTGAACGCCTGTTATCTTTGTGTGAAATCGGTGGTTTTTGTCATTTGCAGTCCTATCAGTTGGGAGCAGCCCGTGGATGACCCTGATGCCGAAGAAGGCGCTGCAGTAACTGGGGAGATGACAACCTTTCATGATGTTGCAGATGAAGGCTGTCTTGACGAAGTTGCTGTGCACATGTAGGGTGTCTCCTGCACAATAAAGCCTTCGGCAGGATTTCGGCTGTACAAGTGTTTGAGCACTCTTGACTAGATCAAGCGCTGCTAAGTGCAGCGTTTCCGTTGTTGCTTATGAGTCGCTTCAGAGCATGTAGAAAGCCTCGTGTCCGCAGCCAACACGAGAACTGTAATTTCAGGCTATTTTGCTCCTTCCTCTCATTTGGTGCTCTGCAGGCGCGATGAGACCCTCAAGACGGCCGTCGACGCGGAAATGCAACAGAATCCGGTGCAAACAGAATCAAGCACGAATGTGGCAGAGGCTAGCGCTGCCCAAGATTGAGGCTGGGCGGCTTCGTAAGAGGCCGAGGTACCGAACAGCTCTTGCAACATCGCTGCACAATGATATTCGTGAACGACAATGGCTTGTCATACTACTGACGAAGGAGAGACAGAAAGGGATGGCTTTGATTATCATGAGCGCCATTCGGCAGCTGCTGTTTACGCTTGATAGCGATTTAAATGTGTGTGCCTTCTCAGTGACTCACTTGTGCTTGAGATGGCCTTTTCTGCAGCAAGTAGCCATCTTGGTTCGCTCTGTGTCATTATCAGTTTAGAGGTGATTCTTGCTTAACTCCTTAACTGTCATATCAAAGGCAAGCTGCTGTGGCGTTGCCAACGTGTTGCGAAATTGCATTTATTGATGGATTAGCGTGGTAGGACTTGTTGTTTCGTGTTGAACACTATTCTCAGTTGTCAAATTTCTTGTGCGTGAAATCTTGTTTTGAGCGCATACGTAGCGTCAATATCCGGCGTGGTAAACTAACGCAAGAAGTTCGAGATTTACCCAGTGCGTCAGACCAAAAGCGGGCTTACATGGAATCACCAGAGAAACTGAAGGCAGCATCGGCTTCCTGCGGAGGCGGAGGTCGAGGAGACACCCGGACACGACCAGCTGCAGCAGCAGCAGCAGCAGCATGGAGATGTTTGCTGCTGCGGCTGCAGCTGCTGAAAGGCTTTTGGCGCCTTCCGCTGGCTTTGATAGACAAAGAGGCAGCTGGAGATGCAGCAAGAGGCGAGCAGATATCACAAGCCTGTTGCTGCTGCTGCTGCTGCTGCTGCGTGAACAAGAGCAGCTGCAGCAACTACTCCAGAAGCAGCGCCAGCAGCAGCAGCAGCAGCCACGGTGGCAACAGTCGCGGCAGGACAAAGAGCAGCAGCAGCACCGGTAGCAGCAAAAGAGGCAACGGCATTGGAAACAGAACTGAGGCAACTGCCTCAGCAGAAGCTACAATGCATATGCAATTCTTTCGTTACGGCGGTTCCCTGTATGCTAAGCACGTGGCGTATGCCGCTGTGAAGTTGCACGATATGCTGTTAACAACAATGAGACAAAAGTTCGACGGTGAGGGCATAGCTTTCAGCTTGTATCCAACTTTTGACACTACGCGGCTACATAGATTTCGTAGCCGTGTCATGCTGGCAGACAACAAGTATGCACAGAACACATCCAGTGCTGATGCACCTACAGAGCAGGCGAACAGAAGGCAAAGCAAACAAACGAAAACATCGCTTGCCTAAAATAACACCAAGTGGCATCACTGCGCATCAAACAAAAAGTGCAAGAGGAGACATGACGTCCTGCGCGAGCTGGACTGCGAACACAAGGCAAACTTGAGGAGTTTTTTATTGATACGTTTGATTTAGTTTCATGGTGCTCGGATGTTTTGTACAATTGATATGAATTGAGCGTCCTACTGATTCAAGACGGTGGGCAACACCTTAAGATGTTTTGGAGGGATGCCGTAGTGGGAATCGATGAATATGACGTGCTATCATCCCTCGTACTCTCATCCCCCTGGCGGGAGTGGAACAAGCTCTAATGCGGCCTCCCACAGGTTACTTCATGCTTCGCTCTAATCGCTAGGAAACACAATACTCACGGGTGTTCAGGGGCCAGTGCAAAACAGCGACGCTCTGCAGTAGCTCTGAACTACCGACTGGCTTTTAGAAGCAAATCGCCGTGTTTCGACTAAATGCCAGTAAAACAGTAGTGCAGTGAGAGGGGAGCACACTTACTGCGTGTATCTAGCACAACGCTTTAAGCGCACAGAGCACCCGGCTTGAAAAGGAGCCTTGAGCTACTGCAGACCTTCAGGCTGACGGAACAGATTAGAGCGTTCGGTTTGGAAAGAAACCTTGAACTGGCGCAGACCTTCAGGCTCACAGCCGCGCACTCTCAAGACTACGCCAACTATGTTTGAACGTGCTTTCTTTTGTTTCAGGGGAATCTGCTTTATTTTTCATTGAAACAACGTTGCAGGCGTAAGTGTACGTTTGCGCCTGCAAAACAGCTTCAATGATAAATAGAGCAGCATCCAACACAAGTGAAGGTTTGGAACTCTTTGGCATTCCTTTTAAGGGTGAATTGCTCCCGAAGCTGTGTTTTACAGTTTCTGCTTCGCCTTCACTGCACAATGTAGCTCCTTGAACCCCACGAAGCCGTGGCCAGTATCTGCGGCTTTGCTAGCATGCTTTAGTTACTGAGAACACTTAACTACTTCGCGAATCACTGTGGTGTTGTTCTAATTTACACAAGCACCATTGCGCTAGGTAACATAGTTAGCTTCTCTGTCTATCAAGTTTTCCGTAGAAAAATGCGACAGCAAAAAGTATGACACAAAGAACGTCTATCGCATTGGTTGTTTCCATGAGCTATGTCTCATCTTCGTACAGTTACAGGTCACGAAACTTCCTGAGCGCTCGGTATTCATGAAGAGCGACATAGCGACATGGTGAGACATTTTACGGGATATTTTCGCCCAATTCTCGGCGTAAATATCTCAAAGAGAACGAAAGTTTCAATAAGAATAAAGTGGTTGGTCTTCGTCAGTACCGCATCATTCTACACAAGGTCGCAGCAGCGCAGGGCACCATGCCAGGCTTGAGGCCACGTAGCCGAGGCCTATTCTCCTCTGAACAGCGTGATGCATACACTCTCCTTTTGTTCAATTTTGGTCATTTCTTTGTAATAAGGTGCATTTTTCCAAACTAACCAGGTACTACCTCCCCTTCCAACAATCGTTCTTGTGTGGAACAAAACTGGACTCTTCTGGCTGCGCACAGCTTGACGGTGACAGCGTAACATTTGCTCCGCTTCTTCTTTTCTCTCCCTGTTTGTAATACTCCTCTACAAAGGAGTCTGTATAAGGTATTTCTCGGGTCATTGCTTCTTGGTAACGACAGGTTGACGCCTGGGAAGGGCATACAGGTACTACCACCGCCAGCCACGAGCGGACCATCGGCTTCAGTCAACTCAGGCGTTTAAATCTAGTGCTCACGCCAGGCTTTCGAGGAACAGTGGTTGACATCTGTGGCTAGAAACAAGTTTTTTTGGTCTAGTGCAGGGGAAGCTGCCCAGCCCTCACACCCTTATTGGAAATAGTGGAGCCACAGCTCCACAATCGAACTGCAAAGATGGAGCGAAAAGGAAAACAAACCCCACCGCTCAATCTTCCCCTCTCGGGGAAGAAAGATGTACAAATATCCCCGAGATATTACGAGCCCGGCAGTTCCCATCGCCACTCGGTGGCCAGTACTGGCGTAGGTGATTCATACAGCCCTCTATTTCGGTCGCCTGAACTCACCTACAGATCGTCGGCGCTGCCTTCTCCTAAGGCGGTCCAGTCTAGAGTGCCGCCTCTCCCTCCGTCTAGGGGCGCTCGCCAGCATGTTCCCCGTCGAGATGTTCCTCGCCCCGCTGTTCTCGTGTCTTCTCCTTTCGAGGAGCTGCCGAGAGGGCAACTGATCACTCCAGAGATCATTAAGGCCAAACAGCGGGGAACATCTTTGCCTCCTTTGAAAGAGACACATCTCAACATGCTTGACGAATACATCAGTCGTACGTCTTCTGCTGGACCACGACACTTGTGCAGCAGCAGCCTCTTCATCATGACGAGCATTCCCTAAATGCATTCCATGCTTGAACAGTCACAATTCACAGTTTGGGCAAATCTCGTTTCTTTCAATTTCAAGTTGCTGTGACAGCCAACATGTACTGCTTTCCATCTCAAAATTAACGCGCAGTTGCCTCAAACACCAGTCTGTAAGTGTTTTGCATTCCTTTTGGTTCGCAGCGGAGACCGCCAACTGGATAAATACAATTCCCACGGAGGACATGCTGAGGATTTCTGGCTCCACGGACCAAACGCACGTGAGCGCATCATTCCGGCTATCTGTGGAGCTGCCCATTATGTGTTTTTTTGCTCTAAAATGCATCAATACAGCAGACTGTTGCGTTGCAATGTACTTCGAATGGCCCGCTTGAAGGTGTTATCCTGAAAGGCTGTTTTGTGCCGATGTGGCTCTGTTCATTTCACCTGTATGGATGAAAGCTCCCTTCTTTTACCATGTTTTAAAGCCTTTTTTGTGAGCTGCTTCGTTATACAGGACGTGCGATTCACTCAAGAACCCGTACAGTACCATCTTGACCATCCCTTCCCGCCCTCTGTCCTCAAGAAGTATCCCAACTACGCAGACTTTCCGCTTCTGTTGAGTAAAGTCCATCGCCCCACCCTGAAGCCAAATTTTAGAGACCGACACGAAGTCGAACATCTTCGTGGACATAATGAAGCAATGCTAGAGAGCCACTGTGAGTCTGTTAGTTCAAGTTCAGCGAAGCTGTAGCACAACTGGAGATACAGCTAGCTGCAGAGAGGGCATTTCACCATTCTGACGTGGAGAATTCGTCTTCTGCCGAAGCTGGCACTTCTTTTTGAGTATTACTGATTATTGCTTTTCATTTTTTTCTCCTCCTTGAGTGTTACTTAAGGCATTGTGGTTATATTCTCATGCGCTGCTGTGTAACAGGTGGCGAGAAGCCGCTGAACAGCGAAGTGGCCGTAAGGGAGGCTTACATGCACGTGCCGAATTTCGGCCGCGTTCAAGTAGTGCTGACGGACTACCCAGATGGCACGAGCTATCCTCTTGTGACTCTTCCCAAGATGACCCCCCATGACATCCTGAAAGTGCTGGACATGCAGAAGGCGGCACAACAGAGGTCGTGGGTGAACGTTTTCTTCAGCATTCTCCACAAGATCTCATGCGGCTTGTTTTAAGTCCGCTGTTGTTTAACTGGGACGCGTTTTCTTCTCGAGCATGCGTCAACACTACCTACCCACTACATCTCAAGGGAACAAATAACCCTCCGAGGCAGCAAGTGCCTCCCTCCACCCCTTCTGGTGCGCCCAGTGGAGACGAAAGTCCTGCCCCATCGAATGGGCATAGAACAGCCAGTGGTTCTGGCTCTGGTTTATGGCCGCTTAGTAGATAAATAGCGAGCGGCCGCTGTAGCTCGGCCACGTGGTCCCTGAGGCTTGTGGGAGGGAACAAGGGATTCCTCCCTGCGTTTTGGTTTTCGTTGCTCTCTTCGATTCCCCCTTAGCTTGTCACGCGTCGTCGCTCGCGGCCTTGTTGCTAGTTCTGGGCCAAGACGCCTCACTTGGGTTGCGAATGGCCCATAGGGATAATACCAGTCGGTGAAGTTTGTGGGGAGGATGGATAACTAGTGCAGCATTGATGGCACTGATTTCCGTGAAACATGGGCGTATTCATTTCTTACGCCAGGTAGAAGCATGCTCGAAAATAGCCGCAAAACGAAGGCTGTGCATGGCCAAGAGTACACTTCTGTGTTGACGGCTCAGTTGGACACAGTTTAACTGCACTACAGGAGTGTTGCCTTGGCAGCAAGTAGTTGTGAAGCCGAATATAGTGCAGCGTTAATTTGATGTGCACATATGCTGCTTTCCATTTGCATTACGCGCTGTCGAGAGCCTATCGGGCTCCTGCTTCCCACGCGTTAGGTGGTGCCGGGAAGCAGTAAAAATTCACGTTCTGCATTTGGTAAAGCTCGTCTATTTGGTGTCAGAGCACCGGAAGTGGCTCTGTCTCCATTCGCCGTGCCGCAATTTCAGGAAGTTTAACAGTGGACAGGCTTTGCTGTCCACAGAATTCAATGGTA